CGATGAGATTCTATCTTTTGAAAAGATGAGCAGAAAGAATTGGTAGACTCCTTTTCAGCCGCCACACCGGGTCATAGTAGAAGTAACCTTGACTGTGTCTGTGTGGCAAATGAGGTCCTGTCTGGGTGGTGACCCAGACTCTTTTGAGCTTCCATTAACACCCTCTGGAAGTAGCCTATGACAGCCCAGCATGGCTAGCTATCTCCCAGTGGGGTGGGTGCTTAGCATCTGCTGTGATGACATTTGTTTGGTCAAAGCCTTGGGGTAAGAGTTCACAGACATGGCTCCTGTTGCTCTGAGGTAGAGTAGAAGTATCTGGACTTCTGTTTGCAATTCCCCATTTCTTTCTGATGCTTGGTGGTCTCTGCTCACTCTCTAAGGCCTACACTTCAAACCCATCTCCTAACCGGATTCTCCACCTCTCCTCTTTGCCCATAGCCTACTGTCCATACGTCCACCAGTGCCAGGAGCCTTGTAGACTGAGGGATCCCTGGGACAGGACTGTCCTTTCTCCACGTCCAAGCATAGCACACCTGGAAAGTTCTATGTACTTATATGCCAGGCACAGGCTCAGGAGGCTCAAAGAAATGGACAACTGTTTTAGGCTAACATTTCCAACATGGAATGTGTATAAGCTTAGCTTTATGAAATCTTATAAAAGAAGGATTTGTGACAAAAGATCAGGAAAGGGCTCTTTTCTCTTTTCCCTACAATGGGAAATGGGGCTGATGTGACCTAGAACTTCACAATGTGAACCCGGTAGTAACCTGAGTTCAAAGTCTGGCTACATCCTCCAACAAACCACGAATAGCTGGGCCTCACTTTTTCAGTCAGTGAATTGTGGTGGTGGAGTTCTTATTGCCCATCTCCCTGCTACCACTGGAACCCTGGCAAAAGGCGCAGGGTGTTGGGAATCTGCGACTATAAGAAAGCTTTTGAGAAGTCCTGAAACAAATGCTCACACCATTCATCCCACTCTGAAATGGGGTTGCTTTTCATAATTCACTGAAGCTACTCCCATAGTTTGGGAATCTCTGTCATAAAAAATTCAATAATATAAATTATTCCCAGGAGTAGTAGTGCATGCCTTTAATCACAGCACTCAGAAGTCAGAGACAGGTGGATCTCTAAGTTCCAGGCCAGCCTAGTCTACAAAGTGAGTTCCAGCACAACCAGTGCTATATAGTGAGAATAACAAGAGAGAGAGAGAGAGGGAGACAGAGAGAGAGAGAGAGAGAGACAGAGACAGAGACAGAGAGACAGAGACAGAGACAAAGAGAGACAGAGTCAGAGAGAGACAGAGACAGAGAGAGAGAGAGAGAGAGAGAGAGAGAGAGAGACAGAGAGAGAGAGAGAGAGTCAGAGAGAGACAGAGACAGAGAGAGAGAGAGAGAGACAGGGAGAGAGAGAGAGGGATATTATCTACATATCTCCTAACTGGATCCTTCACATGTTGTCCTCTGTCTCCACACATGCATGAATGTTCGTGTGACATGTGTGTACACACACACTATATAAATGAAGGACAGTCCTGTCCCAGGGAGTCCACAGTCTACAAGGCTCCTGGCACTGTGGTGGACATATGGACGGACAGTAGGCTGTGGGCAAAGAGGAGAGGTGGAGGATCTGGTTAGGAGATGAGGTAGCAGGTACTTTAAACTGGAGGCATGGGAAGCCAAGGTCATCCTCCAAGGGTTAAGTGTGGAAGTCAGAATGAGTGGCCCTTGGCCTAGTAGCTGGCACAGAGCCCTCACTGGCATCTCTAACTGACAGTGCTGACTGTGGGGTAAAGTCTTAACCTCTGGAAACGTGCTTAGCTGCACTCCTCAGTGGCCAGCAACAGGAAGAGGAGGTACAAACAAGATGTGTGAAATGCTGGGTCTGAGAGGACATCTTTACACAAATGCCCAGTCCCGATCCTCAGAGTCCTTACCTGTGTGATAGAAGAGGTGCATTTTTGCTTCTGGTGAGGACCTGGGTTCTCCCTTGGGAAAATACTGCAGGCTGTCAAAGTAGCTTAAGAGGTGCGAACAGGACCAGAGCTGGTCATTCAATACATCCCACTGATGTACCTCAGAAATGGACATGTGACCTAAACCAGGCCAAGAGAGTCCTCAGTGGTCAGACCCAGGGAGCAAGGAGACAGGAGGAGTGATGTCTGTGGAAATCAAGACATCCAAACTTGCTGAGGCATCTCTATAGATAAAAAGTGGGGAGGGGGGAAATTTGTAAGCAAGTACATACAGTACAGCCCTCTTAGGAACAATGCCGAGTGTGGTCATGGCTTTGGCTTTAACTGAGCGGCTACTATGTGCTGAGTGCTCTTGTTCCTGAAGTTCTAAGCAACACCACTTCCCATGTGAACGTTCCCGAAACAGCGTACATCTTTTACATGGGGGCCTCTCACAGTAGCTTTTACCCAAGCTCGGCCTGTGGCCTGGCTGTCAATCTCTTAATCAATATGTCACATTTTCGATTTTTTTCTTAACATTTATACAGTGTGTGTGTGCACACATGTGCACACGAACATTCACGCATGTGTGGAGACAGAGGACAACATGTGAAGTCAGTTCCCTCCTTCTACCATCTTGACCCTGGGGATGGAAATCAGGTCATCAGGCTAGGTGACAGCTGCCTTATCTGCTGACCTATCTCAACAGCCCACATTTTCATTTTTAAATGAACGCTAGAGGAGGTTCATGTTAAATTAATGTTTAAATTAGCTTTTTTTTACGTTTTCAACAAAAGTTTCAAGTTATGGGAAAACTCTGGGATACGCTTTGGTCACTGTGTCCTGTGGTTTCTTGGGGAGTCACAGTCCAGTGCTGTGTCTCACAGCTGGTAGCAGTATCCATGTATGTGAGGCTTAGGAGTACCTGGGCTCCAGTAGGGGTGGAGACAGTACTGTTTGGAACTTGGGAGGTTCCTGAGTGCTCAGGTTGAGCTCCAGGTACTCAGCCAAATCGTGACAACAAAGGTCACACAGATCAGGTGACTGTCCAGTACGATCCGTGGTGGTGGACAGGGTGTGGCTTTGTCTATTCCTCTGTTGTTTAAGAGGGAAGCTTCACAAACCCTTTTCTGTCCCTTCCCCTAATCCAGAACTTCCTTCCGGTGCTGCCCACCCCAGACCCGTAGGGACCACGCTCCCTGATATAGCACTATGAGAAAGTGACGTGTGATCCTCAGGGTTAGGCAGAAGCCAGGGTCCCAGAGCTGCCGTTTCCCTACCACAAAATTGATACCAGAGACCTTCCCAGCTGAAACAGAGCAGTGTTGGCTTAAAATAACCAAGGCCCCAGTTGTAGCGATGTGTCAACAATTAGGATGAAATTTCCTTTGGGAAAGTGTCATTCGTCTTGGTTCCGCCAAACATCTAGTGATCTTTCCTGCAAGATGTCTCCCTCTGTCCCCCCAAATTTTTGTAAATGTGAACCATCCAGTTTGGCTTCCCATGTCCCCTGAGGTGTGAGATTACTTCTGAAATAAAGCCCGTGTGGGAGAACGGTCCTTGTACAGAGGTAGCCTGCCTGCGGGAGCAAATGGGGCACCAGCAGGCTTTGTTCCGGGACCGCCTTGAAAGTGGCTTTCATGTGACTATCAGATGCTTTATTGCTGTGACGGGGGTGACCTCATCTAGCCGAATGAAGTCATCCATCCTACCAGGGAAGACAAACCTTCCTTCCACAGAATCAATCAGGTCCTTCAAGGGCCCTCCCTGCCCCCTTAGCTCCAGCCATCCAGCACGTGAGCAGTTAAAAGCCTGACAGGCTCCAAAGAGCCCCAACTTCATATTCCACTAAATCAGAAGGGAGCCTGGACTCTGGAAAGGCAGAGCGAGGGAGGAACTCCGCTCTGCTAGCGAGGTGCAGCTTGACATCGGCTCAGACTTAGGGGACTCTTTTGAACTAGGGTGTTTCTGGAGAACAAACCGTGGCACTTCTGTAGACTTGGGGCTTTCTCTTTCTGGTTATTAAACTCTTAACTCCTGCCAGATAGTGATGCCAGGCACATAATTGCTCGCCAGGCTTTTCATCCCAAGCTATTGCACAACCCATAAACAGTCCAATTAGGAAACCAATTAAAATGAGAAAGAGGCTCCCTGGATTCTCCAACAGTTGAGGCAGTACTGACTTTTTCTTGTCAACCGGTGAAAGGTTTTTTTTTTCTTACTGCAACTGGTGAAGAGGTGAAGGAAATTGGGGGCGGGGAGTTCTGAGCGCCTCACAGGGCAGGGCAACAGCAAGGATCCCCCACCCCACCCCAGGGTTTGGTCAGAAGTGTCTGAAGACTAGACAAGCAGGTGGACGAAAGACTGAATTCTGACTATTGAAACCAAAGTGAGAATTACAAATAAAAATGTAAAATCAAACTTGAGCTTTTCTTGGGCGTTTTTGGCAAACAGGGTCTTGCCCTGGACGCGGCCCGTTTGTTCGTGCTGCCTTCTGGGAGACCTTGTGCCTGCGTTCCATCACTCCACATTTTCATAGGGCGGAAGCATTGTTCTGAGGGATTATGAGGCCTCCCCACCAGAAAGGAGGAAGCCCATCTCAGGCAAGGCCACACTCACATAGGCCGGTGACCTCTCAGAGCACACTCATGGCATGGCAGGTGCCAGAGGCATGGGCCAGCTTGTCCTTGTGCCACCGTGCTTGCTGGCACCTGCTGCTTTCTCCTGGAGAGACTGGACTTTGAGCACATGAGCCTGCACTTGTCTCCTTCTGGATGCAGACACCGTCAGTGGAAAGACCCCAGGAGGGTCCAGGGTGCCGTGTCTATGCTGGAAACTCCCAAGAGGCCGGCCCACTGACTGAGCATCCCAGTATCCAGTACGTGGTAAGTGTCATGCTTGATGTACCATTAGGGAGTGTGGCCTGCATGGGTCACTTGGCATGGTAAAGTGAGAAAGAGCAAGGACTGGTTACCTTGATGACCAGCAGTGGCAGTGTTGGGACACTGATTTTGTTCTCTGAGCCTTTGTTCCTCTCCCATGAAATAGACAAAGTGACTGCAGTCTGGAAGCTCCCCTGTAACAACGAGAGTGACAAAAGACGCCTGACCTACACTCCTGACGTGTCACTTCACAATGTTCAGGGCTACCACCAAGATGTCTGCAAGAGTAAGTGACCCTAGAATAGCCAGACGGATCTTTCTTTTGCACAAACAGTGACCTCAGCCTAAACACTTCGGTGTGACTCACTGCCACCTCTTCCTGCCTGGTCACTCTCTATCAGCTGCCCTCCATGTCACAGCCGGACTCACTCCCATGTGGTTAACTTGTCCTGTTCTCTTGGGAAAAGTGCTTCTCAAATGGGGTGACTGTTCTCCTGGGGACATGTGTCGAAGTCGAGAGACATTTGCGTTGTTGGAACTTAGAGGTAGCTTGCTTCTGTCTCCTAATGAGTAAAGACCCAAAATGTCAATATCATTAAGACTGAGAAACTCTGGGAGACTCCAGACTCTCGTAAGAGGGTCTTTCTTACACTGGTCAGCTACTCCTGTGGCCTTCCTCAGCCAGGACAGACTAACTTATAGTTAGAACTGCAGGGGCTGAACGCTACAAAGGTTTCTTTTGCCTAAGGCTCAGTGTCTGACATAGACTGAGTTGGGGAAATGTCTTAGTTAGGGTTATGTTGCTATGATGAAATACCATGACCAAAATCAACTTGAGGAAGAAAGGATTTATTTCAGCTTATACTTTCATATTACAGCCCATTATTAAAGGAAGTCGGGGCAGGAACTTAGCATAGTAACCTAGATGCAGGAGCTGATGCAGAAGCCATGGAGGGATGAGGCTGACCGGCTTGCTCTTCATGGCTTCCCTAGCCTGCTTTCTTAAAGAACCCAGAACCACCAGCCCAGGAGTGGTACCACCCACAGTGAGCTGGCCCTCCCACATCAATCACCAATCAAGAAAATGCACCAAAAGCTTGCCCACAGGCCAGTCTTGCAGGGGCGCTTTCTCAACTGAAGTTCCCTCTTCTGAAATTACTTTAGTTTGGGTCACATCGACATAAAACTAGCCAGTACAGGGGATTCCAGTCATTTTGTCCTCACTTTGAATATCAGGCAGAGCCAGCTAACTTCTTTGGGACACGGCAGGTTATAGTGCCTAAGGGAGAGAGTCTAAAGAATTGCTCACAGGTTTGCTTTTGTTCACATTATTGGACACTCCAGCCACACAGCCACATTGAGCTACAAAGAGAGGGAGCAAGCTCCGTCTTACTGTAGACTGGAAAACAGAGAAACTGACTTGGAGGATCTGACCCGGGCACATTCCAGTCTCCTCCTTACAGCCTCATTGGACCACAGGGCATCTGCTGGCCCACCCCTCTCTGGCTATTGAGGATGTCTTTGCTCTGGGGTCCCACCTGAATGTGCCCTTTCTTAACATTCTGCAATGCAGCCGCTGGTCTGAAGGATGTAGGTGGGACTTGTTTGCTGTGTCCCTGACACCTAGCCCAGTACTGACTAGGAGTGGAGCCTGAGAGTGACTTTCTGAATCATCAAGTGACTCTCCCATTCATTCTTGCCTTAGAGAGCTGGGGAAGAGTGTTCTAAACACAGTTTGTTGGGTTTCTGATCCAGGATGCTGGTGTCATCCTGTGATGGCAATGCAGTGTCTATGTCCACACCACTGACTGAACCTGCAAGGGCATCAGAATTCTGGATTGATTCTCTGTGGTTTCATTCTCTGGGCTTCTCCATTCTGCTGCCTCATCACACTGTTGCCCAAATCCATGTAGGACCAATGCTTTTGTTAGGAAGGCCCATACTGTCAGCTAATCTGAATAAGCATAGTCCTTCCTGCCCCATTTCTACAGGGTGACAACTCTTTTCTTTCTTATAAACAAAGCATTTGATTTATCATGTGGGCATTTAAGTGTGACCACACATGTGGAGATCGGAGGACAACCTGCCACCACGTGGGTCCTGAGAATCAAACTCACTTCATCGGGCTTTGTGACAAACACCTTTAAAGCTCAGCCATCTGATCAGTGGCCCAGTGACAGACAACTGCTTTCTAAGGTAACATTTCCAAATTCCAGCCTCTTCCTCTCCTCCCTCCCCTGGCCCTTTCACACATACCTTATTCCCATCCCCATTGTCTAAGCAGTGTTTTCTCTTAGCCTGACTTCTATTTTTACTTAAAACAGTGTATTTAAGGTAGGTAGATAGATGCACACAGGCACAGGTGGTAGACAGATATCGTTGGATTCATTTCTTTGAAGAAGCTCTGAGAACTGTCTATTTTGAAAATTGTCAACTCAGGTGTTTCCCCTGCATTTCCGACATGTCTTCAACCTCCAAGTCTGCTGGTGGTTGACCAGCTCAAGCCTTTGCTTTGTAGATGTCTCCTAACTAAATAAGTGGAGGAGGATAGTTGGGATTGGAACATTACTCTTCTCACCCCTAAGGAGTCCCCAGTAGTGACAGAGAATGGAAAGGTCATGAAAAGGAAGACAGCAGACATTTTCTACCTCCCTAGGAGCGATCACTATGAAATGACCCAGCTAAGAACATACTACATCTGAGTGTGGTTAAGCATCTAGACTCAACCGCCTATTTACAGGACATTCAAAGGTCAGGGAAACATGTCAGTGACCAATGGGATGCAACCAGCAAATCCAGACAACAGCAGCTGCTGTAAGACAGGTGGCCTGGTTTCTTTAACACAGAGTCTCACAGATACCTTAAAATGAAATAGGACAGACAGACAAGGAAAACAAATCTCAAGGTCAAAAAAGACGTTGGTAATAGAAAATTGTAAGGTTAGGGCCCCAGTTCTAACAAAATGGCTGACCGAACACTTAACTGGGGATGAGTACCACTGAAGGTAGTTGTTAATATTTTAGATGTAAAACGGCCTTATGAGGAAATTTTAAAAGACTTTATCTTTAAAAAAATCTGGTCATCAAAAATAATTTTTTTTGTGGACTCTGGCATTGTCTGTGTGTAAGGAAGAAGTGGACTGTGGACACGAGTATGAAATGATGGCCAGACTTTGGCATGAGGACATCAGACTTATTTTTTTCCAATTTTAAACTTGCTTCACATTTTTTTGTAAAGAATCCAGAATGGTGTCATAGGAAGGAGGATTGGTGCCCTAACTTCATTTCTGTTGCTATGGTTTATTCTAAAAACTTGACAAAAAGCAATTACAGAAGAGAGAGTTGAATAAGCTCACAATTCCAGATTATAGTCCATTGTTGCAGGGAAATCAGTGGCAGGCACTTGACTTAACTGGTCTCAAGACACCCACAGTGAAAAGCAGAGAGAATTGCATGTATGCGTGCTCATTTGAGTGTGTGCTTGCCTGGGCTCAGTTTCTCTACTCTTGCACAGAACCTCCTGCCTAGGGAATGGTGCCACTCACAGTGGCCTGTGTCTTTTCACATCAATTAACTTCATTAAGGCAGTCCTCCACAGACACATCCACAGGCCATCCCAATGTAGACAATGTCTTGCTGAGATTCTCTTCTCATCTAGGTTGTATCTGAGAAGACAGGCTGATAAGGAGACATTGAGACCCGAGTGACAAAAGGACCGAACGCAGGCGTGTTCCAGGCAGAGGGAACAGCAAGGACACAGACACCAGATTACTTGACACTATCTGAGAAATAACCTTGTAAAATGCCACTTGTATATCCTCTAAATTACATGATCAGTCAGGAGAAGATGCCTAATTAGCAACTGAAAATCTCACTGCTTTGAAAGTGATGCTAATTTTCCATTGGATTTCTTCCCTGGAAATGGAAATGTATGAACAAACCTTATGCTTAGGATTAAAATTTCAAGTGTCGCTAAGATTTTGATTAAAATTTGTTTAATTAAAAAAATGTTAATTGCCTCATTGTTTTCGTCGCTCGCGGTCTGATTCCACCATGGGGCTCGTTCTCAGCACCTGCTGGAGTTATGCAAGCTGCCAGTTTCAACAGCCACATGTCAGTTAAGAAAAGGAAAATAAAGACTTTTGTATTTGTGAAATACTGCACCAATGCTCGTAGTATAAAGTAGCCCAGTGTGGTCCCAGCTGAATAGTAAGAGGGTGATTTATTCCCCAGGTTCTGTTTCCATTTTGGCTGGTTATGATAGCATATCAAGTGAGTTTTTTGATTGAATTACCACCTTGTATTCAGGCTGGGACCATGCATTATTACATATGTAAGTATAAACGCTGATGCAGATGAGTTTTCCTAATGAAACGCGTGGCAGTGTATTTTCCTTTGCATAATGGGTGGTGCTGGGGACCAGATTTATTTTTCTGGAGTGACTACATGCTTATTTTCCAATTTGTCATTAATTCTTAGCATGAGCACCCCAATAATTCAGCTCTGCCGGCCTCTGAGCACGCACATTTTAGTGTAGTTTTTTTATTTTTTATTTTTTCAAACTGAAATCAATTTCAATGTGATTTATCATCAGAGAATTACTTTATGTAAAATGCTTAAGTGAATGAAGTAATAACTTTAGGCCTATCAGTTAGAGAGGGCAATTTTCAGTTGCTCGGGTCTAAATAAATGCTAGGCTCCTGGGTCACGTTTTCATTTTATCCATTACACTGTGTGCTTTAGTTATTACTGACTTTTGGAATGTCTAGAAGCTTCAAATGAGCTGAATTACTTTTAAATATGGCTGAATTTCATTTGATATGAGTTGAGCTACTTGGCTGGGAGCTGCTTGGTATCCTATTATCTCTTCTCTTAAACCAGCTGGTCCGACCTGGAGTTTATTTGGCGCTCCGTAATTTAAGATACTAATGTGGAGCCCTGGGCTCTCTCTTGCATATGAAATCAAGTTCAGTTCCCTGCTTTGAGAGTCCACTGAAGGTTTGCTTAGAGAAGTCTTGGCTCATGAGGGTGCTGGGAGAACCAGCCGAAGGAAGGGGCCGTTGGGAGCAGCTGTCTCCTGGACTGAGCCAATTGAGAGATGGAAGTTTGGTCGTCAGATTTTCCAGAATTAACTGGGCAGGGGTCTTTAAGACACAAAGTATGAATTTAGGGACCCAGCTGCTTTCCATCCACAGAACAGAACCAGCTAATAATAGCAATAACAAGTTTGCTGAATTATTACAGTAACAAAATATACAGTAAGTTCTACCATGATGTATACAATAGATATCATCCTGGTTTGGATGTGATTTGAGTGTGTCCCCCAAAAACGTAGGTGTTAGAAGCTTGGTGCCAGTGGAATAGCACTGAGAGGTTGTTGAACCTTGATGAACTGGGCCCTCGTAGATGGCTGAGCTGTGGAAATACTGTCCTTGGAAGGGATTCAGGGAACGGATCAATGTAGCTCTTAACAGGCTGGGTTACTTCTCACTAGTGTGGGAGATTATAAAGTTAGACATTTCCATGAGCTTGTTTGTTCCTGGCCCACACAGTCACCTCCCTTTTCCCTTCTTACCATGTCCTAGCACATGTCAAAGTCCTTCCAACATCACAATAGTGAGACCAATGAATTTCTTTATATAATACTCCATCTAAGATACTTTGTTGCAACCAAACAAAGATGAACTATGACAACACTGTAATAATAAAAATAACACTGACACATATATTGAGGACTTACAGTGTGAATGTGGTGTCATACTACTTGACATGTATGATCTTAATAATCTCCACACAGTCTGATTCCATTGTCTAGCTAAAGAAACTAGGAGTTTGGCCAGAGTAATGATTAGAGGAACCAGGATTCAAAACCAGACAATCTGGCCCCAAAGCACCCTTTGCTTCCCGAGCTGCTTCAGTGAGAGCTCCATTTCTTAAGTAATGCTTCTTTGAAAGTGTATTATTCAAGCCCTCAGCCTTCGGTCTGGGTGTAAAACACTGAATAGCCATGGGGAGAGCTAGATTCTGAACTTTAAAGAACAGAGATGCAATTGAGTCCCAACTTAGATTGTCACTTAGGTTGAGTTGCCTGGTTTCAAGTTGTCTCCCTCAGTTTCCCTGCAGGAGAAAGGTGCTAATGGCAATATTTCCACTGCGAGGGATGAATGAGTCAGTATAATGCCCCACTGGGTTAGAACCACCTGCATAAGCTTGAACTAGAACCCTACCCACCTGGTGTAAACTAAAACCCTACTGGGGTTTATTCAGGTGAGCTCTGCTCTGGAAGCTGGCTTAAAGGGCTTCTCAATCTGCATTCCTAATTACCTCTAACTCCCGGCTTGCCAGCCCTCTGAGGACTTTGCTTGGCGATTGATGTGATCCCACTAAGAAAAGTCTTTGAGTTCCTCAGAAGAAAGGTTTTCTGTGCAACCCAGCTGCTGGTGTTGCCTTTTAGAGAAATCTGGAAACCCAAGCGCTCTGCTGATATGCTCATGGGGAGTTGAAAGGGGGATTATCTTTTAAGACTTGAGAACGTTGATGTTTGCAAATATTTTCTTGCCGCCTCTCCGAATACTGCAAACTGACTGCTGAGATAATGGCCAGAGGATGACATCACACAAATAGCAGCTTTTAAGTGTGCCAGGGACCACTTAACTTAATTAGGAAATCCTTAAGCAAGAGTTTGCAAAGCATTGGCTAACCCTCGGTGTTTGCATTCTCCCCCTCTTTTTCTGGCATCCAACACTAAAAGTCTGACCTTGAATAATTATCTACCCACAGGCTTTCAGCACCAGGCACAGAAGGGCTCCCGCAGACAGTTCCCTGGTGCTCTGAACGCCTGTGACAAGTGAGTGCCTGGGATTTGATGGGGTGCTCCAGCACAAAGGGCAGGCTTTCCTTTGGTAGCATTTCTAAAATGACAATCTGGCTTTTTGGAAAGCCTGGTAAAATGTCACCTTTGGCTTGAGCTGGCCTGGCTCTCACTGGTCACTCTGAGCACCAGGAGGAGCTTGTACTATTTGGGAGACCCGGTGGCACGGTCAGATTGTTTGTTACCTTTTCCTTTTTGCTCTTCTTTTTGGAGCACAGAGCTGTGATGAGAGCACAAGCAGCAGGGAAGAAGACCCTGGGCTGATGCAAAGGCTCTGTAATCTAGGTCAGTGCTTGGGATAACTGGTAAACCAATGTTCTTGCCCTGACACCATGAATAGATGCTAGACAGTTGGATGAATGGATGGATGGAGGGACAGATGGATGGACATGCAGATGGACAGTCAAACAGATAACGACAGATGGTAGTCAAGCATGGAAGGCATGATAGAGGGAAGATAGAGATGACACCTGGCTGATTTCCAGACATTGTAGACACAAAATCACAAATCTCTACTCAAATGTGGAAAGAGCTGGTTCATTTTGGGGCCAAATATGAGTGGTCATAGCCTGGGAACACAAATTTAGGTTACCTTAGTTTCTATATCTCAACACGGCAACAGTTTCATGAAGTTTTTTTTATAGTAATAGAGCAAAGAAAGCTGCAAATCAAGACCCCTTTCAAATGCATCAAAGAGGTGGATCCTAGCAAAACGGGAAATCTGCTGTAGGCCTTGGAAGCTATCTGGTGAGACTCTTAGCTTTTGAGTTGGTGGAAACTAGTGGTCTACTGAGTTAATACAGCCCAAAGAACCCAGTGTTTCATTTCATCTGGTTTTCCCAAGGATCACAAGACAGTTATGTCAGGCACTAAGGAAGCCAGTAAACTGATATTAAATTAGTAGTTGCTAAGATAGCTAAATATGGCTCAGGATACTTTGGCTGTGGACTCACAAAATTCCAAACACTGCATACCCATGGACATTCTAACAATCAGTTAATTGAGCTTGCAGAATGTTCTATTTGAAGGCATAGCTTCTTTCTGGAAACTTTTGTCCAATATGCTAGATATGATACATGGATGAATAGACAGGTAATAAAAGATAGGTGATAGAAGACATGTGGATAGTAGGCAATGGATAGACAGGTAAGAGAAGATAGAATATAGGTAGATATATGACAAGTAGATTATAGATGATAGCTAGATGAAAGATAGATGATAGATTATAGATATTAGATACTAGATAGGTAGATGCTACATAGATTATAAATAGGCAGGTGATAGATTAAAAACAGATAGGAGTCTTTTATCTATTTATAAAAGCAATGCATTTTTTCTTTTTTAGAGAAAGGCAAAAACAACACCAGGAAGAAATTATCCCTGATCCTCCCACTACAAACCCTTGGTCCAATCTCCAGGCATTTCCCTCCAGTTGAGATGATACTAGGCAGGTAATTTTGCTTCTAGTAAATTTTTTTTTGGGTTTTTGAGACATGGTTTCTCTGTATTGTTTTGGAGACTGTCCTGGAACTCGCTCTGTAGACCAGGCTAGCCTCGAATTCACAGAGATCCGCCTGCCTCAGCCTCCCGAGTGCTGGGATTAAAGGCATGCACCACCAACACCCGGCTGTTTCAAGTAATTTTTATAGCCTCCTCTAGCCAGCACTGTCTGATGGCTTTATGGATGCCCTGCCAAGCTCTGCTGTCAGATATGTAACAAATTCCCTGGTCCTAGACATTCAAGTTTCTCCCCAACTATTGTTTTCTACTCTGTACTTGATAAAACATCTACCAAACTCTCTCTTCTTTACCAAGGGCATGGGCAGGACTCTCCTGAATCCCTTTCTGAGCCATAGTCTTAGTGGGGAATGGTGATGACTAAAAGGACCCTTTCTACCTGCAGATCAGTACTTCTCAAGTACGTCATGGAAAAGGAAAACGGAAGCCTCCTATTACCTTGAGACTTACAAGGATAACTATATATCTCCTGACTCTCCAGGAGAATCATCAGATTAGAGGAAAAGCGATTGAATCACTGACCCAGAGCAGGGAGTATTAAGCTTGAAAAGCTGACATCC